TTTTAGTAATTACTAAGTAATGCATATAATAATATTAACTTTAATTAATATGTTTTATTGTAATTTTTATTCATAAAAATAAAGCATTTTTTGTTGTATTTGTTTTATTTATTTGCTATCAGATTAGCAGCATTTATTCCCATCCCAATTACCAAATTAATATGTCTGATTAATGCAATCAAATAAAAGCCACATGACTGTGTATTGTGAATTCATGAATCTGTATGATTTGCATGCACAGTATATAAGCTCATCTGTGAGCATTCCTAAAATAAAAGTAAATAAAATATAATAAATAAAAAGTTTATTAAGTTTTTTTTTGTTTGTTTTTATCTATTTTATTTATTTGTAATCAGAATTAGAACACTTAAGATTATTCTAATAATAAAGTTTTTAATTATTTATTCATCATAAAATAATATCATTAACTTCATTATATTTTATTAATTCTTTTTGATATTTTAATATATTTAATAATTTTGTTTAGAATCAGAGTTAGAGCATGTATTTCTATCTTAATTACTAAATTACGATGTCTGATCAGTGCACGCAAATAAAAGCCACACGACTCTGTATGCTGTGAATGAATGCTGTATTCAATCTGTATGGGTTGCATGTAAATTAGCTCATCCGTGAGAATTTCTCAATTCCTCCCTTGTTTTGCAGGGAATGACCATTCGACCGCTGGTGGACCTGCTGGCAGTCAAGAAGAAACAAGAAACCAAGAGATCCATTAATGAGGAGATTCACACACAGGTTTGTCAGCGATTTCAGCAATATTTGATGCGTTGATAACACTTTACAATAAGTTAATACATTTACTAACATCAATGATAACACATTTATTACAGTATTTGTTTATGTCAGGGGAAAATACAGTCGTTCATTGATAGTTCATGTTAATTAGGTCATTTTAACAAGCATGAATTTGGATGTTAATAATGCATCAGTAAATGTTAACTTGTGATTAATAAATGCTGTACAAGTATTGTTCATAATTTGTTCATGTTAGTAAATATATCAACTAATGAAACCTTATTGTAAACTGTGAATATGCCATTTGTTTAATCTGTTAGTCCCGAAGTTATTCACACTTTAATGGAAGCTAATAGTTTTCCTACTAAAACAAGCTTGGCTTTTAAGTGAGTTAATTACAACAATTGAATTAATTTGTTGACTGCTAATGTTTGTGTATCAGCCAGTAATAATGTTTAAAGGGTGTGTGTGAGCGCCATCTGCTGGTCATTTGTGTGTTCACTCAGTTTTATATAGAAATGCAGCTTGGTGTATTATTAGAAAGACAGGTGACAAAACATTTTAGGAGCAAATGTCGTGACTAATCCCACCTATAATCTATACACAATGTTTCCAGCTCATATTACACCTCTGCATCTGTTTTATATTATATTAAGATACAGTAATTAAGTATACTTAAGAAATATATTGTAAAAATAATTTAACTAAAATGTATTGTAGAATACACTCACCGGCCACTTTTTTAGGTACTCCTTACTAGTACCATGTTGGACCCTCTTTTGCATACAAAGTTGCCTTAATCTTTCGTGGAATAGATTTAACAAGGAACTGGAAATATTCCTAAGAGATTTTGCTTCATATTGACATGATAGCATCACGCTGTTGCTGTAGATTGAATTGAGCTCTTGTGACTGTGGAGGCCATTTGAGTACTGTGAACTCATTGTCATATTCAAGAAACAAGTCTGAGATGATTCACGCTTTATGACATGGTGCGTTATCCTGCTGGGAAAAGCCATCAGAAGATGGAGACACTGTGGTCATAAAGGGATGGACATGGTGAAAAAGCCATCAGAAGATGGAGACACTGTGGTCATAAAGGGATGGACATGGTCAGCAACAATACTCAGGTAGGCTGTGGCGTTGACAATAGGGTTGTAACGGTATGAATTTTTCACGGTATGATAATCGTCTAAAACAATACCACGGTTTGACGGTTTCGCGGTATACGGTATGTTACAAAATAATAGAACAGTGAAGCAAATTTGACTTTTTCCAAATAATATATTTTCAGTTACTATAAACAACACCACTTACAATGAACAAATAAAAATAAGAAAATAATAAATAATGTGTCAAAGTCCAAATAAAGTCCAAATAAACATGGTGCAAATCATCAGTAAAAAAATAGATATAAATATTTACTATACTATAAATAGTTACATAACGAAACTAGATTCAATATGGAACATCCTTAGGTTTTATGTGCCAGCATGGATATGGTTGTCTGTGGATATGGATTTGGATATGGTTGGCTGCAATGCAGACAAACAGCTGCACCTTCATTTGCGTCTTTTGAATACAGCAAGAGCAGCAGTTCGTCTTTGCTGTGTCACTGTTTTGTCATGTTTCTGTGCTGCTGTGCATGCAAAAGTACTTAGTATGAGAATTATTTCATGCAAAACTTTTTTTTTGCGTTTTATTTAGCCGCGCAAAAATGTATGCCTTTCTCTCATTCCGTGTTGTTCAAAAAGCTTGTTTCTTAATATGCGTTCTTCAGCGTTCTTGCGTCATCGTGTTCTCGTGAAACGTCATCATCAGCTGCCTAAGTTCAGTTCCAATGCTCAAGACCGCAAGTACGGAGGACGCGTGAAACTTCCCGGATGTGTTCTTGATATCGAGGACGCACCGATGCAGACTTGAGCACCGAACTCGCTCTGGAAGTCCCAGAAGTCATTGCGACTGGAGGTGGGAAGCGCAGCATTTTATTTAGATTTATTATTAAAGTTCAGAGATATCACTTATTTACCTCAGGAGTTTCCCTAAATGAAACGGTGAAGGTAAACATTAACATGAACATCTTAATAAAGGAATAAACACATTAATTGTGTTTGTTTGATGAAATTCGTATTAAAATTTGTTTTATTTATAATGTGCAGAGTATATTTATAATGTTTTTATGCAAAGTATATATTTTGAAGAGGGGGAAACAATAAATCGTTGTACGAAGGCTGTAATGTTTAATTAATTTCCATTTAAAACGCGTGAAGGTCACATGACCATCAGGAAGAACGCAGCATCCCATTTCTCAAAGGACGCGTTCTCTGCCCTCGCGGTCTCCTGAGTTCGTTCTTCCGAGGACAGCTGGCAAGACCGCACTCTACAAGAACGCAAGTCCATTCTCTGAGAAACAGCCTTGGTCCACAAACAAAAGTGAAACCTATGCTTATTGGTTGTGATATAGCAAGTTTGAACCAATCTGGGCATGGAGGAGGGACAATGCATCAATGTATCATGTCTGATTTGTCCGGAGACACAGTGACGAGCGTTTCTTTGTCAAATCAGCGTTGTCAAATGTTGATGACGTAACCGCACTGATTCTGGAGCCTCTGAAAGTCCGCAAATGTTATGTGATACAGCACTGGAAAGCTGAGATTCTCTTCTTTATGCCAATCTTTGAATTGTATGAATCGAATCAGCGGATCAAAAGTTATTAAACATTTAAGAGCAATACTTATTTTTAGCCGCGGGCGGCTGTCTCGGTCTTTAAGGGTTAAAACCGTTGATATGCAATTGTTCATGGTATGATAATCGTGCACGTTCAAATCGTGGTAAACCGTCATACCGGTATATTGTTACAACCCTAGTTGACAAGATGCTCAATTGGTACTAATGAGCCCAAAGTGTGCCAAGAAAATCTCCCCCACACCATTACACCACCACCACCAGCGTGAATCGTTGATACAAGGCAGGATGGATCCATGCTTTCATGTTGTTAATGCCAACTTCTGACCCCACCATCCGAATGTGGCAGCAGAAATGGAGACTCATCAGAGCAGGCAACGTTTCTCCAATTTTCTATTGTCCAGTTTTAGTTAGTCTGTGTGAATTGTAGCCTCAGTTTCCTGTTGTTTGCTGACATGAGTGGCACCCGGTGTGGTCTTCTGCTGCTGTAGCCCATCCGCCTCAAGGTTGCATGTTCAAAGTCACTTAAATCACCTTTCTTCCTCATTCTGATGCTCGGTTTGAACCACAGCAGATCGTCTTGCCTAAATGCATTGAGTTGCTGCCATGTGATTGGCTGATTAAGAATTTTGCATTAACAAGCAGTTGGATAGGTGTACCTAATAAAGTGGCCAGTGAGCAAGAATTGGAAATATCTGACTAAAAAGGTTCATTTTAAAAAATCATATTAATAAGAAGTTTGCTGGAAAATGTGGATAACCATCTTTAAAAAAAAAATTTAAAAACACTTCATTTCCTTCATGTAAAATATGAATGTTTCAGGATCACATTCCACTGCTAAAAAAAAAAAAGTTAAGCTCATTATTGGAATGCTATGATTAATTAATTTTTTATTTTACACCGTTTTTCAGTATGTTTAAGGGAATTTAGCACAGTTAAAAGCAGGATTTATTTACTTCCGCCTGCATAGCTAAGCAATATTATTTTGTGCTTTCTTTATGGTGGAAGCAGCATATTTTACAATGCATTGGAGCTGAAATTCACCATAGATAGAAAAGACATGTAAATAAGATACTTACAATGAGGCTCTTTTGTTTGTTTAATAAAAGGGCAAAGTAAAGAGATGTTCTGTAGGAAGGAACTTTAAATGATTTCTGGTGTGATCTGGCACTTTATAAAGAAAATACATTAAATAACTTGAATTTGTTATATTATGGTCAGGGAAACAATGCAGTAGTGTTCAAAAGTGTTATCAATATGTGGTCCAGCCCTAATATAAAGCGTTGACCTGGTAGTGAACCATGTTTACAGTCTGCATCTGGGAGTTTAAATTCACAAACTCTGAGTCCGCAAAGAACATTTTGCTCACAAATTGGCATTTATTCACCACTCATCAAGCTGATTGTTGCTATGGAAACGGGCATTTGCATGAACGTCTGATCACGTTTACATCTGTGAGTGACTGGCATGAATCTCTCTACTGTCCGCTTTAGTGTAGAGATGTGTTCAGCTGCAGCTTCTGTTGATCTCCATCTGATTCTGTCTGAGGGCTAATTGTGCTTTATGATCTCTGAACCTCATCTAATTTATTTGTGTCTTGTCTACAGTTCTTGGACCATCTGCTCACTGGCATCGAGGACATCTGTGGACATTACGGACATCACCATTGGAAGGACAAGTACGTAAATATTACTTCAATAAATTTAAAATAAGTGAAGTTTTAGCTTTTTTTCTAATCAGATTTATGTTTTTTTTATTATTACTTTATGAAATCAGAATGAGTCATGCATTTGCTTGTTGTTTTTGATATTGATCATTTTTATTCTGTTTTTATTATTCTGTTATGTTATTTTAGATCATACTGATGATTTTTTGCGTGATTTTTGTGTCAAAACTGTTTTGATCTGTCTTCAGACTAATGTAAAGAACTTTGAAACTTTTTAGGTTTAAAACAATAAACCTAAACTGTGAGACCAAGTAACAAATATTTATATAAACAAGAAATAAGATGCTTTTTAAAATGTGCATATGTTTATATCTATAATCTAATATGTATACAATTGAATTCAGAATTATTAGCCCCCTGATTATTTTTTCCCTAATTTCTGTTTAACCGAGAGCAGATTTTTTCAACACATTTCTAATCATAATAGTTTTAATAACTCATTTCTAATAACTGATTTATTTTATCTTTGCCATGATGACAGTAAATAATATTTGACTAGATATTTTTCAAGACACTTCTATACAGCTTAAGTGATATTTAAAGGCTTAACTAGGTTGATAAGGTTAACTAGGCAGGTTAGGGTAATCAGGCAAGTTATTGTATAACGATGGTTTGTTCTGTAGACTATCGAAACAAAAATAATGCTTAAAGGGGCTGATAATATTGTCCTTAAAATGGTGTTTAAAAAATTAAAAACTACTTTTATTCAAGTCAAAATAAAACAACCAAGACTTTCTCCAGAAGAAAAAAATATTATCAGACATACTGCGAAAATGTCCTTGCTCTGTTAAACATCATTTGGGAAATATTTAAAAAAAGAAAAGAAAATTCACAGGGGGCTAATAATTCTGACTTCAACTGTATATTCATAGAGTGCTCAGCATGTATAGCTACACCATTTACAAATCCTTCTTTTAAATGAATATTTTAAATAGGAAGCTATACAATATTATGTTTGTGCTAATACATTAGATTAGTCAGCACTGAAGCCAAATCTAATAAAACAACTTACGATAGTGGTCCAAAAACGAGTACACCCAATTTTATGGTTTAGAAAAATATTAAATACAAATTTTAAAAAGAGCAAAATTCAACAGAAGCCAAGAAAATATAAAAAATTTAGGTGAAAAAAAAAAAAAAAAAAAAAAAAAATATATATATATATATATATATATATATATATATGCAATATTTTGTATTAAAATTCATTTGATTAATTAATATAAATGAATTAATTGTATTATCTTCCAATTTCTAAATAGATTTGGTGACTAAAATATTATTTTAATAAAAATTTCTGTTTAATAAATCTGTTTTGTTTAAATGCACGAAAATACATTGCCTATATTTACTGAGAAATGGAGAAAAATATTCATTTTTAAAATGAGGTGTACTCAATTATGCTGATAGATAGATAGATAGATAGATAGATAGATAGATAGATAGATAGATAGATAGATAGATAGATAGATAGATAGATAGATAGATAGATAGATAGATAGATAGATAGATAGATAGATAGATAGATAGATAGATAGATAGATAGATAGATAGATAGATAGATAGATAGATAGATAGATAGATAGATACTTCTAGTTAAAGTGGCAGAAGGTCGATTTTTCTGCTGAAGACCTAATGGAATCTGCATGGACTCAAAATTCTCATAGAAATCTGTCAAGCTCAATGAAGGAAAAGTCATGGTTTGGGGTTATATTCAGTATGGGGTCGTGTGAGAGATCTGCAGAGTGGATGGGAACATCAACAGCCTGAGGTATCAAGACATTTGTGCTGCCCATTACATTACAAACCACAGGAGAGGGCAGATTCTCCAGCAGGATAGCGCTCCTTCTCATACTTCAGCCTCCACATCAAAGCTCCTGAAAGCAAAGAAGGTCAAGATGCTCCAGGATTGGCCAGCCCAGTCACCAGACATGAACATTATTGAGCATGTCTGGGGTAAGATGGAGGCATTAAAGATAAACACGAAGGATCTTGATGAACTCTGGGAGTCCTGCAGGAACGCTTTCTCTGCCATTCCAGATGACTTTATTAATCAGTGATTTGAGTCATGTCAGAGATGTATGGATGCAGTCCTCCAAGATCATGATGGAGTCAGACACAATATTCATTCTGTCTCCACTGCAGCAGGACTTTATATTCTATACTGGACATTATTTCTGTTCAATGATGAGACTTTTGTCTGAGCAAAGTCAGACCTTACTGTCCCTATGAAATCATTAAAAATCAAGACATGATCATATTTTATTTTGATTAAAAAGCATAATCTAGAGGCCTTTGCCTTTCATACAAGCCACATCCGATGGCAAATGATCAACTAGAGATCAAGTTATTATTTGTTGTTCCTACAACTTGGATAAGCAACAATACTTTTGTCAGGTAGTGCACTTTATTAAACCAGTACATGCATACAGCTCTGTTTGTTTTTAAACCAAGCAGCTTTACATTATTTACAGCTTTTACCTCAACTGGGAAAATGTGCTAAAAGCTCTTTGTCCTTGTGTGGTTTACAGTTCTCAGTTCCCATCTGTTGCACTCCTAGTGCTTCTGCTGTTATCTTTCTGTCTCTTTACCAGCTTACGTCAAACCACTGGCTTTAATAGTCACCATATGCAACTCGATTTTCAAAAAGAGCAATGGAAACACAATAAAATCAAGTTCTTCAGCTATTGTTTGGTTGTTTGTCATAGGAGATCAGATTTAAGTGAACTTAAAGAGATGGCACACCCAAAATGAATACTAATATCATGATTTATTCAACATTTATGTGTAACAAACCTTTATGAGTTTCTTTCATCTGTTGAACACAAGTTTTTTTTGGAGAATGCTGAAAACCGGTAACCATTGACTTTCATTGTAGGAACAACAAATACTATAAAAGTAAATGATTACTGGTTTTCAGCATTTTTCTTTTTGTGTAAAACGGTTAGTAAGGACTTTGAACAAATTGTCATTTTTGGGTGAACTACCCCCTTTTTAAATTTTAAACCAAAACTAATCAAAGAAAAAAGAAAAAACAGTTCTCATAAAAAAGACATTTATAACAATGCTAAACACATATTGCAAAGACACTTTCAACCCTGTAGGAAGGTTAATAGATATTACATTATTTGAAAGAATGTTGAAAACCGGTAACCATTGACTTTCATTGTATTTGTTTTTTCTACTATGCCTACTATGTTTACCGGTTTCCAACATTTTGCAAAATCTTTTCTTTTGTGTAAAAGTAGGGTTTTTAACCACTGTAGTGATAAAATAGCCATTTTTCGGGGGTAAATGACCCTCTTTACATATTTTAATATATCTAGACTTTTTACCACCAAAAGAAAGCAAAAAAAAAGTTATCCTAATAAAAATATTCATACACATTTACATTTATAACAACACTAAACGCATATTGCAAAGACACTTTTAGCCCTGTAGGAAGGTTAATAGATATTACATTATTTGAAAGAATGTTGAAAACCGGTAACCATTGACTTTCATTGTATTTGTTTTTCCTACTATGCCTACTATGTTTACCGGTTTCCAACATTTTGCAAAATCTTTTCTTTTGTGTAAAAGTAGGGTTTTTAACCACTGTAGTGATAAAATAGCCATTTTTCGGGGGTAAATGACCCTCTTTACATATTTTAATATATCTAGACTTTTTACCACCAAAAGAAAGCAAAAAAAAGTTATCCTAATAAAAATATTCATACACATTTACATTTATAACAACACTAAACGCATATTGCAAAGTCACTTTTAGCCCTGTAGGAAGGTTAATAGATATTACATTATTTGAAAGAATGTTGAAAACCGGTAACCATTGACTTTCATTGTATTTGTTTTTCCTACTATGCCTACTATGTTTACCGGTTTCCAACATTCTGCAAAATCTCTTCTTTTGTGTAAAAGGGTTTGCACTTACATTTTTGGCTTAACTACTCCCTTTAAGTTCATACAATAGACTTCAGAAAATAAAAACACCTGAAACACATAAAGCTTCACATTGTCTTTGTTTTTTTTCCAGACTGAACCGCTTCAATAAGAAGTACGTGAAGAAGTGCCTGATAGCGGGCGAACGCTCCAAAGAGCCACAACTCATCGCTTTCTACCACAAGATGGAGATGAAGCAGGCCATCGAGCTGGTTGAGAGCGGAGGCGGGGCCAAACTGCCCTCCGCCCTGCCCTCCACCGTCTCCATGCAGTAAGTCCCACCCCTAACATCTTGGACCAATCAGAATCCCATTAAATTAATCTCACATTTGAAAACGAATGTATTAAAAATGTATTTAATGTTCTACTCCACTTTTTCGGTACTCGTAGATGATTGCGTGTCTTTTAGAATAATTTATGGAAATTAATTTTTTTATTGGATGCTTTAATTATCTTAGTAGTTCATAAAAGTGTACATTAATTAACATCCCTCAAGAATCTTTATGGAACCAAATTAGCTAGTGTTCACTTGTAGTCCCTGGCAGATGTTATGGGCCTATACACCCAACACAAATACGAATTCAAATGATAAATAAACAAGGATGAAATATACTAATGAACAACAGAATAAACAACAACAACAACAACTACAACAAACTGTCTAATATTTTTTTCAGGAACATTCAGCCTAAGAAGCCTCCTGCTGATCGCGCTCTGCCGCAGCTCTCTAAGGCTCGAGAGGAGGAGATACGGAAGATTCTGCGCACAAACCTCCAGAAAACACGAATGAGAGTGAGTGTGTGGGTTTAGTCTGTGTGTGTGTGATTGATACAGTTTAAACATGATTCTTATCTTTGTGTGTTTTCAGCTGCGCTCCTACAACAGACACACACTGGTGGCCGATCCGTATGAGGACGGCTGGAACGACATCATCAAGCGCAAGAAAATGATAGAGCTGGAGAAGAAGGTTTGATGTTTATCTACAATTGATTCATCATTCAATATTAGTTTTGTTGTTTGCTAATTTATTTATCTTATTTTTAATTTTTTTTCATTTTATATATGTATTGGTTTGTTTATTTGCTTGTTTATTCATTTTTTTATATTTATTTATTTTATTTTATTGTTTGTTTGTTTATTTGTATGTTTATTGATTTTATTTTGTACATTTAATTATGTATTATTATTTATATTTATTTGTATTTATTTATTTTATTTTATAAATTTATTTTAACTTTATTCTTATTTATATCTATTTATTTTATCTATTTATTTTATTTATTCTTTTTTTGTATTTATTTATATTTTTATTGGTTTGTTTTAATTTGTAATCTAATTAATTATTTATTTTTTATATAATATTATTATTATTATTTTTATTTATTTACTTATTTTTCTATATTTATTTTACTTATTTTTTATTTATTTCAGTTTTATTTAAATTAATTTATTTATTTAATACATTTTATAAAAAAAAATATTTTTATATTGGTTTGTTTTATATATTTAATTTTGTTTATTTATTTGTATACTTATTGGTGTGCTTAATTTAATTAGTAAATTAATTTGTTTTAATATGTCAATTAATTAATTTTGTTTGTTTATATATATATATATATATATATATATATATATATATATAAGTTATTTATTTATTTATTTTAATTCATAGTTCTTTTAATCTTGTATGATTATTGTGTGCTTCTTTTAATATTCTCGTTTATGTAAAGCACTTTAAATTACAATGGGGCATAAAATTTACCATACAAATAAACTTGTCTTGATAACCCGGGCGTTATTAATTTGTGTTTTGTATATAATGAGAATTTCAGCAAAATTATGTTTAAAAAAAAAAAAAAAAGTATTTTATATATTATGTTTGTCATATTTTATACAATATAGGCTGATTATAGTGGTGGTCATCATGATATTCTATTGTATACCACAATATAGTTATTTAAAAAGGTAAAACAAATCAAGAAAATCAGCACACTTAAACTTAAATACTTAATTAAAAGTATTAATTAAGAAATTAATAGTAGAGATGCACAATATTGTATTTTTTGCAGATATTTTCAAACTTACTATGGCTGAGCTGATGGCAATATTTTTTCTATTTCCTATTGTTAATGTATTATTATAAAATAGTCATGTTTTTTAGAAATGTATTCCCTAAACATGCTTTTGGTGGTGCATAAATGCTTTATTTGAAAGTCTTTGTTAAATTTTTATTTATTGTCTGTTTTCAGATATCGCAGATGAATAATTACCTCACCGTTCCCGCTCCACCTCCTGATTCGCCAACCATCTCTCGAGCTCGACTGGCTTCAGGTAATCTGTTTGTTTACTTCGCTCTTTAACACACATATGATTTAAGATGCTTTAGTGGACCAGAAATCTTTTTCTTTTGCTCTGATGAAGTGAAATCCTCTCAGTAATGCAGTGGAATATTGTAGAGCAGCGCCATCTAGTGGTTCATCATATTTCAATTAAATTAATGTATTCTTTATAAAAATGTATCAAAAAACCTATTTATATTATATAAAGAACATCCCATGAATCAAAGATTGGTTGTTTTTTTTGTGTGTGTGCATGCAAAATAAAAGTTTGTTTTAATAATATATGTGTATTTATTACATATATTTATTATGTGTATATGTGATAGACACACATACATGAAAACAAAACTATGCAATTTTTTTGTTGGGTAGATTTTTAAATTTATATATAATTCATATAATTTACATATATATTTCTATCAAAATATAGATACATTTTAGAAAATGAATGGGATCTATTAATTATTACACCTTAAATTAATTAAATTAAATGCATGTTGAGTTTTCTTAATATTTTTTGTGTCATTTTCCAGAAGGTTTTTTGTTTATTAAAATGTAAAAAAAAATTATATATATATATATATATATATATATATATATATATATATATATATATATATATATATACAGTTGAAGTCAGAATTTTTAGCCCCCTTCGATTTATTTTTTTTTATTTAATTTTTTTTTTTTATATTTCCCAAATGATGTTTAACAGAGCAAGGAAATTTTCACAGTATGTCTGATCATATTTTTTCTTCTGGAGAAAGTCTTATTTGTTTTATTTCAGCTAGAGTAAAAGCAGCTTTTAACTTTTTAAACACCATTTTAGAGACAAAATTATTTTAAGCTATTTTTGTTTAAGCTATTTATTGTTTTCGATAGTCTACAGAACAAACCATCATTATACAATAACTTGCCTAATTACCCTAACCTGCCTAGTTACCCTAATTAACTTAGTTAAGCCTTTAAATGTCACTATAAGCTGCATAGAAGTGTCTTGAATAATATCTAGTAAAATATTATTTACTGTCATCATGGTAAAGGTAAAATAAATCCATTATTATAAATGAGTTATCAAAACTATTTTGTTTAGAAATGTGTTGAGAAATATCTGCTCTCTGTTAAACAGAAATTGGGGAAAAAATAAACGACTTCAACTATGTATGTATGTATATATATATATATATATATCCTCAGGTAAAGAGTCTGGGGGTCATCTTCGACAGCACCCTTTCATTCACTGCATATGTTAATAATTTCACCCGGTCCGCCTATTTACACCTTCGAAATATAAGTTGTTTACGTCCTTCCCTCACACCTCATTCAGCTGCCATTCTTGTTCATAGTTTAGTCACATCCCGTTTAGATTACTGTAATTCCCTTCTGTTTGGCCTCCCTAAAAAAAACTCTTCATAAATTACAACTGGTACAAAACGCTGCAGCCCGTATTATCACAAAAACCCTCTCTGTCTGTCACATCACACCCATTCTACAACAGCTTCACTGGCTTCCCATCTCTTTTAGAATTAACTACAAAATACTTCTTCTCACCTTTAAAGCCATCCACAATCTTGCTCCTCCATACCTTACTAATCTTGTTCATATCGCCACACCTTCTCGAACACACAGGTCTTCTTCTTCCATTTACTTCACTGTTCCCTCTGTCCGCCTTGGCACCATGGGGAGCAGATCCTTCAGCCACTCGGCTCCTCAGCTTTGGAATTCACTCCCCCCTGATCTCCGTAATTTAGACACTCTCACAATTTAAACCCAGACTCAAAACACATCTGTTTAGAACAGCCTATTCTCTTTGACCCGATTGCATTTTTAAAGCTTGTATTGTATTCTATTGTATTCTATTGTGTTTTTATTTGAATTGATTGTTTTAGCTGTCCTGTACGGTGACCTTGAGTGTCATGAAAGGCGCCTTTAAATAAAATCCCATTCACATTACATGTGTATGTGTGTGTATATATATATATATATATATATATATATATATATACATACACACACACACATGTAATGTGAATGGGACCCTGACAAGGGAGTGTGGATCCAAATGTAGGGTTTATTAACAAGAATGGTCAGGCAAGCAGCGGTCAACACAGGGGTAATCAGGTACATACAGAGAATCCTGAGTCGTATTTAAAAAAACAGGCAAGTGGTCAATACAGGCAGGCAGCAGACAACGTAAAACAAACAAAACAAAAAGCAAAGTTCTAACACAGACGGCAAGGAAAACACGTCATAATGTTAACAGTCCGGATAAACAAGACTCCGCAATGAGGGTGTCAGAGTGAGCTGGATATGCAGTATATGAATGTAATCAGTCCATGAGCAGGCCCAGCTGTGTGCGTCTAAGCAAAGGAGGCTTGGAACAGGTGTGTGTGTGGTGCCTGACAGGACTTGTAGTCCATATGGAGGCAGGATTGTAGTCCATGTAAATGTGAATGCTCTCCAGTGATCCATAAAGGTTTGATCGCTGGTGGTCATGACAAGTTTTAGTTAATAAATTTTAATCACATGTAGCTTTAGCATCTTAGCTTTTCTAAAACAATGTTTTGTTACTTTTTTCATCTCATTTTTACTTTCATTTAATCCATATTAAAAACAACAGATATCATTAGTTTTATGTAATGCTCTTTTAGATACTCTTTGCACTGCATTCAGTTTCTCTCCTCCTCTTTCTCAGATCCTCAAGCTTGGGGCATGAAAACCACTACCGAAAGCATCCCAACCATAAAAGTGGACCTGGCTTCACCACAGAGCCCAGAATCAGTCAATGTAGTGGACGAGTTAAGCAAGAAGGAGAAGCAGCAGAAGCAGAGCAAAGACAAGGATGAGGAAGGCGGCCTGACCATGAAATTGCCAGAGAGAAAGGAGAAAGAAGGAGACGAGGACCCGCCGAAATGCCTCATGCGCTGTCTGAGTGACCCGGGACCCGCTCCTGAGGATGAGGACGAGGACCAGCCCTTCCTCCCCTGAGAGAGAACACACTGTCTGTCTGCGGGATGAGGAGCGGGAGAAACTACTCTGAAAGTGACAATGTTGGAAGCCAAAACTGCAGGAAACGGCAGGAAAACCAAAACTGTTTATGAACCAAAATAAAGAAGACGAAAGGGAGCGATCAAAAATAGCCATTATTATTATTATTACTATTATTATTAATATTTTTTGCTTGTCATTTGTTGTGTTAATTCACCAACGGCCTGTTCACACCAGGGATGATAGATTTATTAATTATATTTACAGTTGAAGATAAAATTACCCGCCCTCTTGTTTTTTTTTTTTTTTTTTCATCCCAAATATTTTTTTTTCACAGATTTCTTTATTTTTCTTTATTTCAGATAGAATAAAAAACGTTTTAGCAGTTTAAAAGCCAATTTAAGGTCAATATTAACCAATATATTTTTCAATTGTTCACAGAACAAACCACTGTTATACAATGACTTGCCTAATTAACCTAGTTAAGCCTTTAAATGTCACTTTAAGCTGAATACTGGTTTCTTGAAAAATATATGAGTGTCATTATAGTGATAACTATATTAGATGATAAATATACTTTTATAATTATTATTTCATCACTAATGGACAGAAAATACCCTTAATTTAAAAAAATGAAATAAATATGAGACCCTGTCAAAAGTATGAGATAAAAAGCTATAATTATGATATTTTAAGACACATGCATTATTAAAAGTCCATCTAAATTACAAGATAAAGAAATTAAATTAGGTATAAAAAGTGTAAGAGTTTAAACAGAGATAAAACATCAAAATCATGACACAGTGGATATTGTAAAAAGACGAATGAGCATGTAATAGAACTACAATATATAATATTAATATTAAACATTATTGTGCATATAATTATAATTAGTGATGTAGTTATCATTATATTTAAAGTAAATTAAATCATAAATAACCTTGGTTAATAATACTTAATCCTCAATTATGCCAAAAAATACCAAAAATAAATAAAGTATGATAATAAAAGCAATAGTAATGACATGCTAAGACACGTGTGTAATTAAAAATCAGTCTAAATAATGAGATAAAATATCATAATCATGACAACAACAAATTAATATTGTCAAAATAAATATATAAATAAAAGCATGAGCATTTAAAGTGACAGACAGCAAACTGCATTTATGATACATCAAAACAGTTATTGTGTTATTGCTTCGAATGCTAATATAGTTATCGTTATAGGTATCATTCTTGGTGTGAACAGCTCTTAGCACTGTGTTCTTACCAGACATGATGCGATTCAAATACTTTATTTCCGACAACAAAGCGATGAATTAGCTCGAATAATTTATTAAACATCAGGTTTACTAGTATTTTCAGGTCTGGTTTGAACACGAGTCAGTGAAGTAGATGTTGCCGCTCCAGCATTTACCGTGGAATAATAATAATAATATTCCACACGAGGAGAACAGATCTATGCATTCAAAATAGTCGAACTGTTCAGTCTCACTATATTCAGGTGAATATACTGTATGCCTTTTTATTTTCACATCTAGCTCTTTTGTGTTCGTTTACATCAGTTGCCTTTGTTTTTGTGACGTGTTGTGTTTTATTCAAACCCCGGCTCAGTGGAAGTATGTGCTCGGGGCTGTGTTTTTGAGAACCAAGAAAAATATGTACCCTGGTCTACGTCTGCTTGCAGTTTACACTAATCCATTAGAGGGCGTCGTGTAGAATTTTTTTGACAATCTCAAATATGTTACTGGTGCATGTTTTATTTATGTTTCATTTCTCGTAAGTCCACTGTTTACATTTTTTTCGACGATTTCAAATATATACGGGGGCACGTTTCTCATGCGTGCCATTTCTCGAGAATCCACCAGAGGGCGCTCTGTACATTTTTTTGATTTCTTTCAAATGTGTTACTGGGAAACGTTGTCTTGTACGTGCAATTTCTCGTAATTCCACCAGAGGGTGCTGTGTAACGTTTTTTGCTGTCAAATGCTACACTGGGGCACGTTTTCTCATATATCATTACTCGTGAATCCACCTGAGTGTGCTGTGTAAAATTTTTTTGACGATTTAAAATACGTTACTGGGGCACATTTTCATATACATGTAATTTCTCGTAAATCCACCAGAAGGCGCTGTGTAATTTTTTTTTTTTTTATCTCAAATATGTTACTGGGGCACTTTTCTCATACGTGTCATTTCTTGTAAATCCACCAGAGGGCGATGTGAACATTTTTTTTTTTTTACTATTTCAAATGCATTACAGGGACAAGTTTTCTCATACATGTAATTTCTCGTAAAAAATCCACCAGAGTTCGCTGTGTACATTTTTTAAAAAAATTTCAAATACGTTAGCATCCACCAGAGGGTGCTTTTTTGGGTTTCGATTTACCTGGAACCGTTCTTAACTGTACTCGAACCCTGGTGCACTATGCGCCCCAAGTCTAATTATTTTTGTAGTTATCATTATAGAGTATTAAATAATAAATGACCATAATAAACAGTTAGTGATGACATGATAATTATAAATAGCCTTAATTAGGACTTTAAAAACTACAATAAATAATATAATATAATAATATCAATAATAAATAATTAATAGCGAAATTGCAAGACATTTTTTTTTCTTTTTTTTTAATTTATGATATGGAAAAAAAAATGATATTATCGGAAGTCAAAAGCATGGGCATTTAAAACTGCAACATGCTTATGATCAACGTGGCATTACTGTACATGAGTCTGGGTTCTTGTATAGTTATTTTTATACTTTTAAATATAATGATAACTATACTAGATGATAAATATACTATACTTATAATTATCATTTCATCACTAACATTGATAAATGAGATAAATTAGGTCTTCTCGACCTCATGTGCTTTTTTTTTTTTTTATCTGGAACCATTCGTCATTGTACTCGAACCCCGGTGCACTCTGTGTCTCTCTTTTAATTATTTCTATAGTATATTAAATATGTTATTATATATTCTCATTATTGTGTATTAAATGATAAATTACCATAATTATAAATTAACCATGACATAATTGTAAAGAGCCTTAATCACGACTTTAAAAAATGCAATTAAATAATATAAAGTCACTGGAAATTAATAGGCAATTTTATTTTAACCGTTTAAATTAGAAGATAAAAAAATTAATATTAAAGTCAAAAGCGTCAGCATTTAAAGTGACGGAAAACAAAATCCCTATATGCTTATATTAAACGACGTTGTGCATTAGTTTGGTTACTAATATAGCTATTTTATACTATAACAATAAGTGTATTAGATGATAAATAACAATACTTGTAATCATTATTTTATGACTAATCGATAAAGTAGCTTTAATTTCATCACCACTTTAAATAAATTACATAAATAAATGAGATCTTCTACCTTGACCTCATGTGCTTTTATTGAATTTCGTTTAACCATTCTTTACTCGAACTCTGGTGCATTGTCCCAAATCTAGCATCGTAGCATTCGTTTTACACTAAAAAAATGCAACCCTGATGCACTCTGCGTCCCTAATCTAGCATTGTGACATTTGTTTCACACATAAATTGCAACCCTGGTGCACTCAGTGTCTCAAATCTAGCATCGTAGCATTCGTTTTGCACACAAAATGCAGACGTATATACCCATGAGCACATTTTTCTTGGTTCTCAAATGTGTAGGCCTGTGCACATTTTCCCCAATGAGCCAGTGTTGGTTTAGTTTGACTCGTTTATCAAAAGCAATATCAAACCGGTAACATGATGGCCTTTCTTATATTTATTAGTCAGATGGTATGTATTTACACTGGCTTATTATTATTATTATTATTATTCCATTGACACCCAATTGACCCATAGAGGACCATTCATATATATTCAATAACGCACAGAACGGGGAAAAAAAAACAGGAGAACTCGTTGTATTTGCACAAAGACATTTAGAGATGTTTAAGACTTTATTTACACCAAAAAAGAGCGACCAATTTGATTGGTTGAGATTGTTTTTGCTCATACTTTATATATATATCAAAGAATATTTTTTGTCTAATAACCTATTATTCCCTTTAAATGCACTCAAGCGCTTTGGTGATCACTCTGAGCATGATCCGCAGGTCTTGATTTAAAGGAATAGTTCATGCAAAAATCACACAGTTTTGGTATTATTTACTTGTTCAAATACATGTGCTCATTTTTTCCATAGAAATTATAAGAGCATCAAAGCATTGACTTTCTGAACCCAATTCTTGAGAAGAAACCACAAAAAGTTGAAATTGTAAAGGAAGTCATGATTGTTACGCAATTGTTTAATTGAGTATGAGATTAAAAAACTGCACACAAAGTTAAGGTCTTATCAAAAATGGAGACTAATTTAATTAAGTAAAATATCCAATATAATAAGATTGAACTTGATTTAACCCTTGTGCACTGTACAAATTTGCTACCCTTGTGTTGTGTTCGGGATGAGAATATCTACTGACTTAAACTGCTGTAAAAATGCATCAGATAATATTAATCTTCCAATTTATTTTTTTTGCATAAATCTGTTAATCAACCTCAGTCCTGATCAAAACCACTAAATGTTTGTAAAAATTACAGGATTTTATTTGCCAAATTCACAAATGATGTCACTGATTTGGTGAATAAAACACACACAATGTTTTTTAAAACTATTATGCTTAGAAATAAGTTGAATAAGCTCTCAGTTTAACAGAAATTGGGGAGAAATAAACAGGGAGAGCTAATAATTCTGACTTCAACTGTTAACACACCAGTCCTATGAAAGAATTATTGAAAGGCTGATGGCTTGTTATTAGCATGTTGTTGCTTTTTTTACAACTATTAACTACTATTTATATCTTCAGTGGTTTATGGAAAATATATGGTAATTCTAATACTTTAATAACTCGTAGTTTTGGAAATCACTAAGCGACCCCCTGTAATTGGTTCACAACCTCTAACTCCTTTGGGAACCATAAAGTAGAAGATCAGATGTTAAAATGTTGGCACGGTAAATCAGACTTGAAATAAAAATACACTACAGCAGTCCAAATTATAAGATAAATGTCATAATCACAACCAAAGGCTTAAGTGTGGCAATGTAAAAATGTTAGATTGTAAAATAATATAACAATTGTAGCATAATATGTCTAATCTGTGGTGAAAAAAAAATAGACGAAGAGAGTCAGAACTCGTAGACAAGTTATTATTACAAAATTAGAAATTATGGTACATATATTAAGACTTACTAAGTTACTTTAAATTGAAGCAAGTATAAATTATAAAATTAAATAGTCATAACTTCATAATTTTAACGTACTTTATAATTATGACACAGTTGTTTTTATTGTGTCCTGAATTGTTTTCAGCGATCAGATTAAGTGAAATGCTGTTGTCATTTTTGGATGGATTATTCCTTTAACGCATTTTCCTGAAAGCCTTCACCTGTAGCTCTGCATTCACACACACTTACACATCTGTCTATATACTTTTGTACCTTTACTGCCAGTGTGATGGAAACACAGGATGGGAACTGTTTGTGATTGTGTCCCAAAGGAACTATGCAGAGTCTAAAGTCAATGATTCACTTCAATAGAATCAAACCCTGTCCTGCGACTCTCCGTTCAGATCAGTGATGTATATCAAAACCAGACACTCGTTTGCATGCACACAGAGTAGAGTAGTCTCCCAGACGTGGTGAAATCAGATCTATATGTTTTAATGTGACTCTAAAGATTCATCCATGTCTATATTCTGCTTTCGAAGTGTTGCGGATGGTCTGTTTTTAAGAATTTTTTGCCTTTGAGAGGAGATCGTCCTCTTTTCTGCCTCTTCAGACGCCTCATGGCCTTTTCATTGCACTTGTTTGTGTTTTTGGGGACAGGATTGGGTTTCTGTGACCTGAGGAAGAGCTGGATTTGAGACTGCAGTATTTATATGAATGAAGAGCAAAACATTTAAAGAAACATTTCAGAAACTGATGAAAATTCTGTCATTATTGTATAAATCTGGGCGCATTTTGGAAGATCTTATCGCATTTTTTTTATGAGCATGTGGGTTTAGAATCAGTGTTTTAATATCAGAGCGAGACTTTTCATTCGTTTTTATTCTATTTTTTTATTGTTTATTTTCTTTTTGCATTTAAACTTTAGCAGTATCTTTTGATGTTATATATATAGAGAGTTTTTTTTTAATGATTATTTGTTGTTTATTATAGTATATCAAGTAAAATGAAGGTAATTTGGGGGTTTTGTGATTTAGGTAATTTTGTGTTTTAGCCATTTTGTTTAGATTTTTTTTATAGTTTTATTATTATTATTTTTATGTATATCAAGTAAAATTTAAGTATTTTTTTATTTTTTATTTTTTATTATTATTTTTTTTTATTTTATTTTTTTTGTACTTTTAATTACCCAAAATATCATTTCATTTATTCCTTCTTTTTCTTTTCAGCTTAGTCCCTTTATTAATCCGGGGTCGCTACAGCAGAATGAACCGCCAACTTATCCAGCACACGTTTTACGCAGCGGATGCCCTTCCAGCTGCAACCCATCACTGGGAAACATCCATACACACTGATTCACACTCATACACTACGGACAATTTAACCTATCCAATTCACAACTTAGTTCATTCAATTCCCTTATAGAGAATGTGTTTGGACTTGTGGGTGAAACCGGAGCACCCAGAGGAAACCCACACCAAGGGGAGAACATGCAAACTCCACACAGAAATGCCTACTGACCGAGCCGGGACTCAAACCAGCGATCTTCTTGCTGTGAGGTGACAGTGCTTCCCACTGCGCCACAGCCCAGTCCCAAAATATGGATTGTACTGATTTAAATTAAATAATTTTGACAATAATTTATTTCCAGATATTCGTATGGTTGTATCTCTGCCAAATATTGTTTCATCATAACAAAGACTACATCAATTGTTATAATAAATTCATGTTATTTTTTATTCAACTTTTTGATGGGTTAGCACTGTCGCCTCACAGCAAGAAGGTCGCTGGTTCAAGTCCCGGCTGGGCTGGTTGTCATTTCTATGTGGAGTTTGCATGTTCTCCCCATGTTGGCGTGGGTTTCCTCCAGGTGCTCCGGTTTTTCCCACAGTCCAAACACATGCGCTATAGGGGAATTAAATAAACTAAATTGGCTGTATTGTGTGGGTGTTTCCCAGTACTGTGTCGTGGCTGGTAGGGCATCCGCTGCTTAAAACATGGAATGCTGAAATTGTTGGCGGTTCAATCCGCTGTGGCAACCTCTGATAAATAAAGGACTAAGCTGAAGGAAAATGAATAAATGTTTTAATATATCAAGTAAAATTTAGGTTATTTTGGGTTTTACATTTGTTGTACTTTGTACTAATTTTTTAAAAATTAATTTCTAATTAGTTTTTTATGTTTTTTTTTTTTTAGTTGAAGTTTTTGAGTTGTTTTTTTTTTTTTTTAATATCCGAGATATTTTATTCTTTTTCTGATTTTATTCAGTTTTAATTCATTTTCATGGTTTATTTTCTATTTTCAGTTAATGTTCACTTCAACTTTATCCATTTTATTATATATATCGTTTAATAAAATTGATAATGAGTCAAAGGAAAATGAATGAATGAAGGAATGTATTTTGTTTATTCATTCATTTTCTTCCACTTTTCCGGGGCCGGGTCGCGAGGGCAGCAGTCTTGGGAGAGAAGCCCAGACTTCCCTCTCCCAAGACACTTCCTCCAGCTCCTCTGGGAGGATCCCGAGGCGTTCCCAGGCCAGCCGAGAGACATAGTCCCTCCAGCGTGCCCTGGGTCTTCCCCGAGGTCTCCTCCCGGTGGGACATGCCTGGAACACCTCCCTAGGTAGGCTTCCAGGAGGCATCCGAAACAGATGCCTGAGCCACCCCAGCTGACTTCTCTCAATGTGGAGGAGCAGCGGCTCTACTCCGAGCTCCTCCCGGGTGTCAGAGCTCCTCACCCTGTCTATAAGGGTGTGCTCTGCCACCCTGTGAAGGAAACTCATTTCGGCCGCTTGTATCAGAGATCTTGTCCTTTCAGTCATTGCCCAAAGCTCATGACCATAGGTGAGAGTAGGAATGTAGACTGACCTATTGATCGTAGATTAATGTAATTTTATTTAGAGTTTTTTTTTTTAATTATTAATTTATTTATTTGAAAGATTTTTGTCATACATTTTTATTCTAGTTAGTTTTCATGGTTTATTTTCTTTCATTTTTTTTATTTATAAAAAAGTTCAGGTCAAGTTTAGCCTTTTTCTTTTATTTTTTAATTATTTTAAATATTTAAAGTAAATTTGCTTAATTTGGAGTTTTTATTTTTTTATATGTGACCCAAGTTGTCAGTTTTAGTAAGTTAAATGAATTAATTTGGACATTTTTATTATTATTATTTATTCTTTTAGCCCTCAGATTCCAGATATTAAAATATTTGTATCTCTGGCAAATATTGTCTTATAGCAAAGAGAGGATCAATTAAAAGCTTATTCATATTATTATTCATTCAACTTTATGATAATGCGTAATTGTTCATTTCCAAAAAATCAACATAAAGGACAGCTCTGACATTTTCCATGTAGATTTTGTGTGTATTTAAATATTTTTACTCATAAATATTTATGCACACAAAATATTTTGTTATATATTTAATAAAGTATTTAATTTTAAAAGGCAAACTAAAATAAAAAATAAAAAGTAAAATAGTTTACATTTGAAATTGTTTACATTGTTTTATTTGAAAACCTATTTATTAAGCATATGTATTTTATTTCAATTTAATTTAGTATGTTAACAGAGTATTTCAAGAGTTCACACTAAGCTGATGATTAATTATAAGCAAGTTTGGCATGCTGTCCCGGGAGAGAGCCCTGAGCCCAAAAGGTCCTTGAGCCCTGG